CACACACACACACACACAAACTTATTCCTTTAAAATAATTTTGGTCGTTTCCTTCTTTATTTCTAATATTGCAGCATCTCTTGTTGGTTGTTTGTTGTTCTGTCTATTTAATGTACAGTAATTGTGATGGGAATTTTTAGAGAGGCCCAGAATGTTCATGTGTTTTTGGTGATAAAACAGCTGTCAGGTGGTGCTGCATGCACGTTCAGCAGATACAACATGAAGAGAAACCACAGGTGTGGGCTTCAGTCTGCAGCTCTCAGAAGAAAAGCTCCTGAGACACAGGAAGTCCTGTCATCAGTTTATGCTCAGTGAGAGCACTGAATCACACCAACCTGAGCCAAATGTCGGCACGACACGCAGAAATGCTTGCAGCAATGCTTGCTGCAGTGTTTGTCATATATGTTCCTGTGTTACTTCTACAGCTGCAGGTGAACTGTAATGAACACATATGAATTCTAGAAAAAATAACCCTAAAAGGATATTCTGACAAATTCAACGTGGGGTCCTGTTGAAAAGTGATAAAGAAAAACTATCTTACCTGTTATCCTGATGCATGCTCAATAATCCAGGTAGAAAAATCCAAAAAAGTTCAATCTGGTCCTCTGAATGAGCCTTTTTCACGTGAATTTGTTTGTCTGTGCATACAACAACTGTTGCCCAGTTTTTTCCCTGGTATAAGTTTTATGGAAGAGAGGCACAGAAGAGAAAACTCAGATTAAATCTGGACTGGAGTTTGTCAAACGACATGTGGAAGACCTCGGAGTCAAGTGCTTTTCAGCAGCCGACGCAGGAAGGCTTGTAAAAAAGGAGGGTGGAAAAAAATGCAAAATGTACGGACGTCCTGGAGGACAATCTTGAAAACTATCCTGATGCATGCTCAATAATCGAGGTAGAAAAATCTAAAAAAGTTAAATCTGGTCCTCTGGACATTCAAAAAAACAAAACAAAGCAAATCAACAAAAAAATGTAGAAACGTTTCGTCTCTCATCCGAGAGACTTCTTCAGTCTGAGGAGCTGTATTCAGCTCAGTCTCTTAAATAGCACCTTCTCAGAGTGGATCAACCAGTTTGCTGCTGACAACCAAAACCAGCTGATCACATGCTCAAGAAGGACCATCAGCCTAACAATGGATCATTAGCACACTGATGGCTGTGTACTATTCACAGAGGGCTGAGTGATACTAGCAATCACAGCATTGTAAGAGGGGGACAGTTGAACCCGGAGGCCTCCACCCCTGTTTAATGATGGACGGTTTCTTTTCACAAAGATGGCCTCCTTTACTCCTCTCTCAAACCATCGTTCCTCTCTGTCCAGGATGTGAACATCTTCATCCCTGAAAGAGTGACCGCTGGCCTGGAGATGAGTGTAGACCGCAGAGTCCTGGCCTGATGTTGATCTTCTGTGCTGGGCCATTCTTTTGGTCAGTGGCTGTTTAATTTCCCCGATGTAAGACTGATCACAGCCTCAGGATCAGGAGGGGACAGAACTGGGACCCTGTGTACATAATTTCGCTCCACCACATGTACCACATGAGGTGCGAATGACAATAAAGAAACTCTGACTCTGATAAAGAGAACACAAATCAACTTCATTGAAGTCTACCTCTAGACCTGCGGAAAGAAAAAACAAGACAAAACCCAGAAACCACAACAACATATATAATGATACTTATAACATCATTAGAAAGTATTTTATACAGTACATGGTAATATTGTGATGGGGAAAGACCAACCCCATCCCCTTCCTTTCTCTTTCTCTGCTGTGACAGAGCCTCAAAAAGAGAATGGAGGGGTGGGCGTAGGGCCTGTTTTTCACCATCGCAACTGCTGTGACATAGCCTCAGAAAGAGAAAGGGGGGTGGGCTGGGTTGGGCCTATTTTTCACCATCGCTACTGCTCAGGGAGCAGGAGTGAACAGATCAGATGAACAAATGTAGAATATTGGAGGAAATGCTTAGGTGGAAAAATAAGAGCTGATCAGTTTGAAAAAAGGGAGAGTGGCTGACCTCATCTATGGCCATGAGCTTTGGGTTGTGACCGAAAGAACGAGATCATGGATACAAGCGGCCGAAATGAGTTTTCTCCGCAGGGTGTCTGGGCTCTCCCTTAGAGATAGGGTGAGAAGCTCGATCATCCGGGAGGGACTCAGAGTAGAGCCGCTGCTTCTCCACATCGAGAGGAGCCAGTTGAGGTGGCTCAGGCATCTGGTTAGGATGCCTCCTGGACGCCTCCCTGGTGAGGTGTTCCAGACACGTCCCACTGGGAGGAGACCCAGAGGAAGACCCAGGACACGCTGGAGGGACTATGTTTCTCGGCTAACCTGGAAACGCCTTGGGATTTCCCTGGAGGAGCTGGACCAAGCGGCTGGGGAGAGGGAAGTCTGGGCCTACCTACTTAAGCTGCTACCCCTGCGACCCGACCCCGGATAAGCGGAAGAAAAAAAGATTTTAGATTTAAGGTGTTGTGAGACGGTAACTGTCTGTTTTGGAGGAGAGTCCATTCGAACTAGCCATGATTTTGTTGGTTCTATTTCTACAAACTAAGGCTGTTCAACAATATGGAGTGAGGTATCTGTCAAAAGCTGTGTGCATGACTCTGAGTCTTGTACACAAAACTTATCTTCATATTCCACAAAAAGCCTCTTCAAAATGCATCAAATGTTTACCTAAAGGAAATCCGCCTCAAAGAAATGCCAAAAACTATTACAAACAGGACAAAATATATAATTAATAATATATATATATATGATAATAATATTTAATTATTGTACAATTAACATGTTACTTCCACAGAGTTTTGCACATGAACAGATGTTACAGTTTGTACGTGCACTTGTACTTAACTGTGTTACAGAAACTTCACAGTAATAGTAGAAAAAAAATGAGTGAAGTTTCACTCGGAACCACAAATTTTAATGGTAATATTCTCCTGATTGTTCTTTTTCTTCTCCTTCTCCAGTATTTTCCTCGTCAGATGGGCTTTTCTCCTTTCCTCCTGTTCCCTGAAAAACGAGATGCAGACTTGTCGGCGAAGCCGTCTTGCATAAAGCTCCAGGAACACCAGGAGGTAGCTCATCATCCAGAGACCTCCCAACAGGAGCGACACTCCGTGGCTCGGGGCTGATGCTGTCACGTTACAGAGCAACGGCTCGGGGTCAAAGGTCCAGCTGTAAACCTTATGGAAATCCGTCAGCTCCCGTGTGACGCACGCTTGAGGGATGATGCACAAGCCAGGAGGGAAATACGTAACCTTCGGTAACAAACACAAAAGCAAACTGATGAAAACCCAAGGAGAGAACACTACAACATGCAAACCATGTGCCGTCTCACCTGATAACTAACACTGATGCTAGCAGTTGTTGGAGGAAGATCCATCAGCCAGGGTACAATCATCTGAACTATATGATAGACCACATGATCCAAAACCACGATCAAAGTTATTGCAAGAAAGTAAATTGTTACGACAACCAGAGAAATGAAGCACGAGGCACATTCCTGGCTTGTTACTCTGCAGATCTTTGGACCGTCTTGAGAATTTTTGTGTCTGAGAGCTTCAGAGATGAAGCCGTTATCAAACCGAACCGACATCAGGTAGGACTTTAAGTAGCGCACAGACTCAACAACTAGCAATGCAACAAAAACGGCTGCAAGGATCCTGTTGGACAGCAGCTTGTATTCCTTCAGCAGGTCCTTGGCGTGTGAGAAGTTAGCCTCTATCTGACTGATGAGATGGACGAATGTGCTTCTGACTTCTGACACGTCGATGTGCGTGTAATGATCCAGATGTCTTAAATGGCTGACGACACTCAGGTCCTCCCTCCACACTTCCATGGCTTCCTTCATGAGGTCGTTCTTGGCTCTGTTGAAGGGTTCGGTTGAGTTCAACAAAGTTCTGGTGAAACCTTCAGCGGTGCACTTCAGGATGCGTGCGACTGCCCCAACATTGGCTGAGATGTTAGGGACCACGTTCAACACTAAAACCATGACGGAGGCCGACACCAGGAGTTTACGTCCCTGTTTGGTGCACGCCGTCGGCAGGATCAAGGTCAGCACGCAGCGTAGAGGGTGGCACAGGAAGGAGGCCGGGAGCATGCACACGCTGTAGAAGCAGGCGGTCTGCACAGATGCTGCATGCTCATATTTCAGCGTGTCTGACAGCCACCAGTGCAACAGGCCGCCAGTGATGGCAGCCAACAGGAAGCAGAGAGACATCAGACAAACGATTTCTCTGCCCGAAGGAACAGCTTTGGAGTAAACATCCCAGAGGTACACCAGGAGACAACTCAGGATCTGCCTGAGAGACAGCGCTCGGGTCCTGAGGGAAACAAAGACAGTGAGGCACAACATGTGGTCAGAGAGAGAAATCTGACATTATTTGTAAAAGTTTATGAAATGTATACGAGCCGTTTCATTTCAGTTCACCTACAAGAAAAACTTCATTTAAAAGAACCAAAATGTTTCTCTTTTAAATAAGAAGTCGAGTTAAAGCTAGCTGACACTGAATATATATATATATATATATATATATATATATATATATATATATATATAAGTCC